ATATATATATATACTTGACATTTTCTTAAATAACTTAAAAAAGAAGCCTTTTATGTATATCGGTGAGTTATTTTGATGGATTGGCTGATGTCCGATATTTAACTTTATCACTAATATCGGCCGATACCGATACCATGGTGATAATATTGTGCAGCCCTACTGGAAATGAAGTAGCGAGTAAAGATAATGGATGGATGGATGGATGGATGCCTCATTTTAACCTGATCCAACTGACATCTAACATTACTAAAGTGTTCAAAATTTTCTCACAGGTATCAAAAAAAGGTACTGCACACAGCCCAAGCTGTCACTTGCACACCTGCATTATTTAGCAGGTGCTAAATAATTTAAAATAATTCATTTTAAGTAAAAATCCCATGCCAATCATGCGCCTCATCCATCAATCAGCCAGTTGTGTGTCCAATCTTATTTTGAAAAACCGTGATAGAGCGAGTCCGCAAAAAACGAACCTCGAAGTAGCGAGGGACAACTGTATTCCATAGTGGTGAAAAAAAACCAGTTTGCTGGTGCTAAGAAGGCCTCTGGGGCCCGCCCTCTCCCTCGTCAACTCCTCTGGGACAGCCATGCCAAAGAAGTTCAAAACAGCAAAGTTCATGCTCAGTCCAGGTAAAAATCGACAACACTATGGAGTGAGCTGTTTGAGGGAATCAGTTCGTTTGGTGTCTCCTCAGATTGAAGAAGTCCTTTGGATGAAGGACGAAATGTCTCAGCAAACAAAAAAAAAAAACGAAACCATCCAGATAACCTGACTGAACATGTATTTTAAATTTCTTCTATATTTGCAGAAGCGTTCATTTAGAATATGATCACATCTATTGGTTGGTAACTTCACCTTAATCTGTAACAAGTCAAACAACTAAAACCTAACGTCCTTCAGTTTTTCTGTATTATTTTCCCTCTTCATTTTTAAATTGTTTTTTGTGAATCGAGCTCATTTAAACCCGAGCCTCATTTCAGCATAGCAAGCAGCACTCTTCTCTGTGAATTTTCTGACTAGGGTTCCTAATTATGTGTGCAGATTATTCCACTAGGATGTTGAATTAGCAGCCAGGATGTTCTTCTAATGAATGCAGAACGGAGCCCTCAAAGACTTCGGAAAGTGGTTGTTTTTCCCGGGACAAAATGAAAAGAGTTTAGCTATTTTTAATCTTTTTTTCGCGTTGCTCAAGGGTCAGCACAAAAGCAGTAATTATCCCAATGTGAGCAAAAATCCCCATTACAGAACCACTGAGTGTCCCAACGCTGGATGGAAATCATGTATCAAATGACGAAAACAGTAAGCAGCTTTACCGGCGTCTCGTTTCAGCTTCAACGCCGGATAAACAGCCAGAAATTGACCATTTAACAAGCGCACATGCACGACTTCGCACGTGTGGTCCCTCTGGGAGTTGGTGGGAATGAGACGTGACTTGATTAATTTGCAGTTTTGGGTGTGATCTCGATTCCCTGTTTGATCAGTTCCCTTCAGCTGGCCTGCTTGGCCGGCTAGTTCCGGTTAGCAGCTGAACTGTTAGCAAAACAGAGCTTCATCCAAACCATCCACATGTCTGCTAGATCCCATCCCATCCAGACTGTTTAAAGAGACATTTCCTCTGATTGATGTCCACATTTTGGATCTGCTTAATTTGTCTGTAATAAACGGTTACGTACCACAGCACTTTAAGGTTGCTGTAATTAAACCTTTACTTAAGAAACATATCCTTGACTCAGGAATCCTGGCCAACTATAGATCTATATCTAATCTAACTTTCATCTAAAAAAATTCTAGAGAAAATAGTTGCAGGTCAGTTACGTGATCATCTGCAAAAAAACAATCTGTTAGAAGAGTTTCAGTCAGGGTTTAGAGCTCACCACAGCACTGAATCTGCACTGGTGAAAGTCACTAATAATATTCTCATGGCCTCTGACAATGGACTGGTGTCTCTACTGGTCCTGTTAGACCTCAGTGCTGCATTTGATACAGCTGATCATAATATTTTACTACAGAGGCTTGAATATGATAGTGGGATTACAATTGGTTTAAATCATATCTATCTGAAAGATTCCAATTTGTAAATGTAAATAATAAATCTTCATACACCAAAGTTGGTCATGGAGTTCCTCAAGGTTCAGTGCTTGGACCAATACTCTTTACTTTATATATGCTTCAATTAGGTAAAGTTATTAAACAGCATGGGATAAATTTTCATTGTTATGCTGATGACACACAATTATATTTATCCATTAAACCCAATGATCAATCAGCTACTTAGACTGCAAGCATGTCTTAAAGACATAAAAACCTGGATGACCCTTAATTTTCTGCTTTGAAACACAGATAAGACGCAGGTTTTAGTTTTTGGACCTGAGCACCTTAGGAATTAATGTTTCATTCTTTCTCCCTCCTTGGATGTCATTAATCTGGCCTCCAGCTCTAATGTTAAAAATATTGGTGTTATTTTTGACCAGGACACGTCTTTTATCCCTCATATTTTAAAAAATGAGTTGTTAGTGGGAATCAGAAAAAAATGCAATTTTTTTCCATAGAATAGTATAAAATATAAATTTTAAAATCTCATTGTTCAGTAGTATTATTCCATCAAAGTTCTTCTATAAAATCCAATTATAAATTGCAAATTATGTTTGTAATAATCTAAAATGGCAAAATGCCACTGCTTTGTTTATAAATGGTACAAAAAGTGGAACAGGGACGAAGTTCTTAAGAAAAATTAAGTTGAGTCCTACAGTTGGTCGGTTACTGACTCTCTCAGGCTTAATGATCCGAATCCTCTCACAGAGTCAGGACTCACGTGTGAGGACTCAATGAACTGAATCCTTCACATCCGGTGGCAGACCTGTATGGAGATAAATTAGTCTCAAAAATAGTCGCACAAGTGCGCAACAAGATTTGCATCTGAACAACAATATTTGTTGAGTAGTTTATTTCAAATGTACAGTTCACACACACAAAACATGGAAATTGTTTATTTTCCTTGTACTTTGTAATTATTCCACAAGAATATAATTTTGTGAACTTTACTTTTGAAATAAACTACTCAAATTTGGTAGAGTATTCTTCTTGCGAAAAAAAATACAGATTTTCTTTTTCTGGTAATATATACATTTTCCTGGTAGATTTCCCTAATGAAGAATTACCTAAATATTTTAGGTTGTGTATTTCCACCAAATTAACATTTTGTGGATCCAGTAAAATCACTGTAAGCGTATGTTTTAATATAGGGATTATGAGCTCCTGTGTCAAGTTAAATACATGTTTTGTTTTTTTTAACCAGTAACTCAGTAAATCTGATAAGGTTCAGATGTCCCATGTTTTCGCCTGCCTTGAACACAGCATTATTTTTGTGAATCTGGAGCGATAACAAAGCCTTGTGCACTTGTGTTGACTGATCCGTCCACAGCGTGTGATTTGTGCACATGTATTTGACAATTTCTATGCATAACATATTCAGCTCACACCATTGGTTGGTTCTCTTAACTATCTTTTAGAGCAGAGACAACTTATCCAACATAATGGTACCTCTTCCAGTTATTTAACAGTTAACAATGGTGTACCTCAAGGCTCAGTCTTAGGTCCCACTCTCTTTACAATATATGCAGGTAATGTAGGTCAGATCATTCCTGATGCATCCTTACATTTCTATGCTGATGATACAGTTGTTTATTGTTGAGCTAAAACAGTTGCTAAGGTTTTCCAACTTTTGCAATCCACTTCTGACATCATCCAGTCAGATTTGCTCCGTCTCAAACTTGTCTTAAATGCCGATAAAACCAAAGGGATGCTGTTGTCAAACAGGAAATCGGTCCCAGCAGTTCTTCCCTCAGTTTTATCTTCTAATGGTGTTCCTATTGAGTTTGTCAATTCCTACAAATATTTGGGTATCTTGGTCAACTCACATCTCTCTTTTAAGCTCCACATGGAAAACTTGGTAAAGAAACTGAAAGTTAAACTGGGTTTCTTTTTCAGAAATAGATCCTGTCTAACTCTGAATGCATCTTGTAACTACAACTTTCCTTCCCTCCATTGATTACCATACAATACCATTTTATTTATAGAGCACTTAAAACAGCGACAAGTCCAACCAAAGTGCTGTACAGCCAGAACAACATGTAACACACAAAGCAAAATACAAAATGAAGTAAATCAGAATATAGACATAAAAACGATGCAGATAAAAAATATGACAACAAACCAGTGTGGAGCGTACAGGTTCAAAACACAGATCATCTTGTGTTGAAAGCTACTGAATAGTAGTGAGTTTTTAGACGGGATTTGAAAAACGAGAGGGAGGGGGCCTGTCTGACAAGCAGAGGTAACTCTTTCCAAAGTCTTGGTCCTGCTACAGAGAAGGCC